TTGTTAGGGGCTTGGAGCCCAGAATTGGGATGGGGCTTGGAGCCCTGAAGGGGTAAGGGCTTGGAGCCCAGAGTTAAAAACAACAGAAAGCCCAGTGAGAAGGCACTGGGACTATGAGCTCCAGTGGGGAGTGAAAGTCCCATGCGAGACTCTGGAACTTGGATCCCAGTGTGCGACGCTGGAAGAAACTGGATGCCATCTGCAAGGCATTGGGACATGGTACCCAGGAGGTCGGAACCATATACATAGGCCCTTGGCATCTGGGCAAGTAAATGGGCAGCCTCCTGCCTTATGGCCATCCTTCAATCATTATCATCAAGGTATGGCAGGTGAGGTAGGCGGGCAGTTTGCCCAGAGACAGGTGGGTCGGGCTATGTTTAGACCAGCCCTGGGACACCCACTTGTTACACATGCCTTCATTTTAGCCTGAAGACTTGGTGTGTCTACATATGCATTTACTCCAGCCTAGTTTTTCTATGGAGTAAACTACTGCAGAGTAACGGTTTTTGCATAGGTAACGGTTTTTGCATAGGTGTCTACACATGTTGGGATTAGGGAGAAGATTTGCTCCTAGTTCCTTGCATCCCAGCAATGGGCCCCTATAGCCACTGGGCTCTTGCTGCAGCTGGCAACAGCTGGCAGCCCTTTTTAAAAGCCAGCTCCACTCTGCTCCCTGGTCAGCTTCTTTCTTGCTCAGGAGCAGCACATCCAGTGCAGGGGCAGCACACAGCAGCTTTCTCTGTGGCCACTCTTTCTCCCCACACTATGCCCCTGCCCTGGCAATGATGACCAGTGCCCCGCAATCCTGCTGGCTACCACGATCACCCTGCTGGCCCACCACACCAATCACTACCTGGCCCACAGCCGTCTCACCCCACCCAGCTCCCCTACACCCAAGAACCTCCTGCCTGCCCACAGCACACCATCCCAGGGCTGCCACCACTGCTGCACAGCTGTCACCACCAGGGATGCTAACAATGGGATCCATGATGCCACTGCTGGGCTGCTATGACCCTCCTGGGCCTCCAGCCGCACTGCCTCTGGGCCCACCACACCAGCCAGCACTGGTGGCTGCATGTTGTCTAGCAGACTTGGGACAATAAGCAGTGGTTGGATGGCTTCCGTATGACCTAGGCCATGTTCTGGGACCTGCTTCAGCAGCTCCGGCCCCACCTGCAATGGCAAGACAGTGGCATGCACCTGGCCCTCCCCACCGACACCCAGCTGGGCCTCATGCTACTGAAGCTGGCCATGCCACCAGCCTCCAGTACATTGGACACCTTTTCGGCATGGGCAAAGCCATTGCTGGGCAGGCTGTCCTGAAGGTGTGCAGGGCCTTTCAGGACATGCTGGTCTAAGCCATGCTCTGCATCCACGCCCCCCTGGTGGTGGTGGCAGGGTTCTATGCACTGGGATTCCCCCAGTGCCTTGGGGCCCTGAAAAGGACTTACATCCCCATCACTTGCCCACCCCATGGAGACTGTCCCTATTACAGCCACAGGGGATTTCACACCATGGTCCTGCAGGCCATTGTGGACCACCATGGCACATTTACTCACGTGAGCACCAGCTGGGCGGGCAGCACCCATGATGCCCATGTGTTTCAGAACTCGGGCCTAGTGGGAGTGGTGGAGAGCTTTGTACCAGGGGTGCCAGACCTGCAGCTGGGCAGTCATGATCCTGCCCCTGTTCATCAGGGACGCTGCCTACCTGCTCCTGCCCTGTCTGATGTAACCCTACACTGGCCACCTGGACCCCTGCTACGCCCATGTTAACCATTGCCTGGGCTGGACCCACACACTGGTCGAGTGTACCTTCAGCCACCTCAAGGGCTTCTGGTGCTCCCTCACTGCCTACCTCAAGATCACCGAGAACAACCTCCACCAGGTTATCATCACGGTCTCTGTGCTGCATAATATCTACAAGACCCAGGGGGAGCTATTCTGTGAGGCCTAGGCAGAGGAGGCACGGCATGCGGAGGATGCCTGGTGGCAGGAGCACCACCTGAGGTCACAGTGCCAGCGGTGCCCCCCCACACCAAAGAACCAGGAAAGCCATGCACCTGCCAGCAGGACACCAGGTTGCAGGAAGCTCTAGCTGACCACCTCCTCCAGCACTCACCACTCTAGACCCCCGCCCTGCTGCCCACAGGCCCCCTACCCCCTGCCCAACCCCAAAACCACTCTCATTTTAGAAACATATCCAAATCAGTCTTTATTTCCCTCACATCACACACCTACCCACCCACTCCTCCCCCTCGCCTCGCAACACAGAGCCCCCTCCCTTTCCCACAAACACAGCCTCTTCCCTCTCCGACAAAGAAAGCCCCTCCACCACCCTCCCCACCCACCAACAATAAAAAACCCTTTTCCCTGTGCAAATTATTTACAAATTGTTGTTTGTGGTGTTCCAGAGTGGAGGTCTATGGCGTGGGGGCACCTAGGGGACAGAGCATGGGGGCAGGCAGCCAGCACCCCAGCCTCTGGCTGTTCCCCTGTGAGTGCAGATGCCGCAGTGGGTGTGGTGGGTGGGGGCTTGTCCCGGGGCAACAGCAGCTGCTGGTCCTCTGGCATGGGCACCTCCCTCTCTCCCAGGAGCTGTCTATGGCCAGCAGGGCTGGCATGTGGCCCTGTCCCTGCTGATGGCAGCTCCAGCTCCATGTCTGCATGGAGCTGGGGCAAGCGGCAGGCCTTGGCCCAGGGTGGGGAACTGCATGGTGGCAGATCCAGTGCAGGGTCCAGGCCAGGAGCCCCTGGCAGCTGCAGGCACCACAGAACTTCCTCCCAGGCCAAGGCAGGGGCCTGCTGCAGGGTGGTGGGTGGCTGCCAGGGGGCCTGTGGGGCTAGGGTCAGAGGCCAGGCAGCAGAATGAATGTGAATGAATGCAGGAAGAAAAAATGCGACCACCAGGGTCAGAACAGTGTCCAGCACCCAGCGGTTGTCATCTGTGGCCTGTTCTGCCTGATCCAGGATGGTATTCTGCTCCTGCAGCACCTGTAGCCACTTGCACCCCATGGCATCTGGGCTGGGGGGGCACAGGGCCCCGGACAACTGGGACAAGAAGCTGTCTATGCCCCCACACTCTCCACAGGGGGCCTTTCATAGAAGGCATCCCAAGGCCAGCCCCCCACCATGATGCCACTACACCCCAAGCGTGCCCCTGCTGTGCGTACCCCGGGCAGTGCACGATGAGCTATTTGTGTGGACCAAGGGGTGCCTGACCCACTACTCCCTGCTGCTGATGATCCTCATTGTTCCCTGAGTGCACCTATGCTTCTGGTTTCGGACCCTGAGATTCGACGCCATGGGTGGTCAAGTTGAGGCTGCCCCACAACTTCCACTGCCACCTGGAGGGCTACCTGTGTAGGAAGTGGCGTGCGGGCATCCAGCCAGGGGGCCTCCCTAGGAAGCAGCTGTTGCTGCTGGCAGTTGGCAGTGTCATGGCCAGCCATTCCTTGTGGCTGGCCCTAGGGCTGCGCAGCTGCTGAGGCAAGTGCTGGTCAGGGGTCCCCGAGGTGTTAGTGAAGGCTGCAGCCAAGGGGATGGGTGGGATGGGGAACTGCATGCCCGAGGGTCCCTCCTCCAGTGATGTGTCAGTGGAGGTGGCAGGGCAGGGTAGGAGCTTTGGCAGGCTGCCCATGCTGGTATAAACCATACAGTTGTGGCCTGAGTCCTGGGGCACTAGAATATCAGTCAGCTGCCTCACAAAGGGCATGGTCTTGCAGGCACAGCTGGTTGTGGCCAGTCATGACAGCCCATAGTGCCCACAAGGCCTTGACCTTTATGCAGCCCTGCTACACTGACTGGTCATGCCCTTGCTCCCACATCCCACCCAACGGGGCCTTATAAATGTGGGTGTTGGATCACCAGCCCTGCTCAAACTGGTGCAGCACTTCTGCCTTGCCTTAGAGCACCACGAAATCACCAGTCTCCTCCTGGCTCCAGTTGGGGCCCTGGAGGGCACGGGTGTGTGCACCTGTGGAGGATGGACTGGGAGGATGAGGCCATGCTGGGTCCTGTGCCAGCTCTCTGGGACCCCATGGGGCTGCCCTGGTGTTGCCAGCTTTGGGCAGCTGTCAGGAGCACCCAGTGCAGAAACATGGCATGGGACAGTGAGCCGCATGCCAGAGGCTATGCCCTGCAGCACCTGCAGGTGCAGGGTAGGCTGCTGGGGGCATGCTGCAGGCAGGTGGCAGCTGGTGCCAGAAGCTGCTTGCAAGTGGCCCTGGGGGTCTGACAGGCCTGGCCAGAGGCTACAGCGTGCAAGTAGCCTTGACAGCACTGCCCTGGCAGCCTCAAGGCAGTGTTGTGCCAGACAGCAGTGCTAGAGTGCTGACAGGCAGGCACAGGAGGTCTGCAACCTGCCCAGAGGAGACACACAGGGCCTGCAGTGCCCTCAGGCTACCTGTGTTGTGTGCCCCAGGCTACAAAAAGTCTACAGGCTTTTATAGCCTGCAGGCAGGGGCTACCATAGAGGCAGCCCAGCCCAGAAGCAGGAAAGGCTCCTAGGCTGCAACCCTGGGGTTGGCCTCAGGCCGGCTCCCTAGAGGCTGGGCTGACCCAGGAGCAAACTTGCTGTCATGTTGCGTCTATAAGCAAGTTACTGTGCGGTAGTAGTAGGCTACTGTGCAGTAATGCATCTCATGTAGATGTGCCCACTGAGTCACAAAAAGGTGGGGAAAGGAAGATGGGACCTTTTGCACAATGGTTTTTCAGAGATTTGAGCAGGGTGGAATATCATCTTGCCCATACTGTTTGTATAGACGGTTGATTTTAATTTCTACTTTTAAATTGTGTCAACAGAGATTTGGCTCCTACACCCATAGCAGGGGGCTATTCCCAAAGCCTTGAACCTTTGAGAGCTTGTTGTATATGCTAACACTATTATATATTCTCTGGATATACACAGTCTGCTTCTACATCTGATTGGTTTCCTCTTGCCAAAACTACTTTTCCCCTGTAAGTGTGAGCAATTAACAATGATCAAACATTTCCAAGACAGCTGTCCATGCATTATATATTTATAAAGGGCAGGTCAAACATGAATATTACAATCCTTATAAAAGTTTTAAATTAGCTAATCAAATGAATAAAACTGCACAGGAGATACTATTTACACAGAACTTCCCACCTCCCTAAACTTAAAGAAAGTTCTCACTTCAGAATAGGAACGACGAAATATACAAACGTACCACCTTCGAACAGAACAATGTTGTAAACATCAACCTAAATCTCTTGCATTCACTGAATTTATTTTTTCCCTGCAAATAAGTTCTAAGGCAGCTCTTTGGCACAGCCTTATCCTTTGTGCCTTGGTTACAAAGTTGGTCTTGCAATAACTCGTTTCCAGACACTTATAGCAACTTAATGCTGCTTCACCAGCCCATTCTGGTTCTTGAGTTGGTGTCACCAACCAACAAGGGTTGCCTCCTTATAAGAGGCTTTCTAGTAATGTCTATGTCACCTTTTTCTGCAGCCCAGGCCAACGATCAGAGTCACTGATTCCATGAGGACAGACATGAAGGAATGGGATTGCAACTTCAGGGAATATTTCTATGATCTAAACAGATGTTCCGATCAAGCACTCTCCATTTGATCCACACAATGATCAAAGTATTTTACTGCATGATATTTTCAAATCAACCTTTTAGATTACTGTGAATACTCTTCAGAGATTCAACCCTGACTTCCCAACTCCTTTGAAGCACTTCAGCAAGATATCGTCCTGAAAGGTTATTTTTGTTGGAGTACTTCATCTCTTATGTGGGCCGTATGGTGGCCCAATCTGAAGCCTTAAGCCAACCCAACAAGTTCACCAGTAACTCAAAACACAAGTTTATTCAGGCCTAATAGGTCAATATTGCCCTCAGATCTTTTCAGTCACCTGCACTTTTCCAAGACAGTGCATTTTTCTGAAATAAATGTTCAATACTCCTTCCTTGTTAAATCTGCTTTCAAATGTCTCATTCTTAAACAACCAAAAAACCAGGCAATATAAGTGCATCTCCATCCCAAGATTCCTACGTGGGAAATTACCAGTGTCGTACTCACTCCATAGGTAAAGTAGATACCCAGTTCTGTTACATAGGAAATATATTTCACATCTCTCCATATGAAAAGCCTTCCTGCACCAGTCAGTAGTGTTTTATATGAATGCAAAACTTCCTGTAAATCCAATATTTGGTTTGATGTCTTGTGCTGACTCCTAGATAAATAAGTCTTGAATCACAAATCTACTTCTAAATGTACACACTGTATTTCTGCAATGTAGAAAATTGTTTTTAAAAATCTCAGATATGAAACATGTGACACACTGTCTGTTCTGACAGAATAAATGTGTTCATCATCCTTTCTTCTGATCCATAAATATTTCCATTATGTGAAGCACTGACTCAACATTTCTTTCTAAGTATCAGGAAATCACTTCCATTGGCCAATCACCTTTAAAGAGTCATGTCCAGTGCTTGGAAATATAGAAACACATGTTGGTCAAATATCATTTTAATAAAAACATTTTAAAATTGCCCAAGTGTTTGGGTTGCAGGCAACATTTGCATGAATGTTCCAGAGCACTGAGCTTCTAAAAGGTCATGAGACTGGCAGATGAGAACCTCAACTCTTGCATTACACCTCTTGTCAGATAATCATGATGTGTGTTCATTTTCTATCAAATATGCCGTCCGGTCAGAAAGAAAAGCGGCCTGTCCTCTTTGGCATTGGCAGTTTGGAATTCATCCCGTAGTCGGAACTGCCACTCATCTTCAAGCTCTAATCGGACAACAGTCTGGCGAAGGGAGTTGCGGTCTTGGCAAATTACACACAAGGTGGCACCTGCAGGGGTGGTTGAAACAAACAACTGTGAGTCTTGTGGGGGTGGGGGGTGCTAAATCACCAGCCTTCCTCTGCAGTTCCCAGTGTGCAGAGCCCTCTATTGATTCCACTGGGATGGGAAGGAAAGGAAAGATGGTTCAAGGCTTAAGATGGTAATGTTGGCTTCAGGAAACACAGGTTCAGCCACAGTATCAGCTCTGCCACAGCCTTCCTGTATGACTTCAGGCAAATTACATCATCTCTCTGTGCTTCGGTTCTCTCATTTAAAATGGGGATAATAATACACCTCTAGCACCTTGGGGTGATGTGTGGAAAAATAATTAAAGGTAGAGAAGTGCTGAGATACTCTGGTGATAGAAAACATCTAAGTACCTCGAAGCAGGAATAAGCCCTTCCCAGGCCAGATTTTGATACTGGTTTGCATGCTGTTGTAGGTTAGTTTGGTCTGAGAAGCTGCCCCTAGGAGGTGTTATTATAGCACCTCAGCCCTTGAGCATCTATACACGTGCTCTGGGATTGTGGGGGGGGGCATTACAATTAGACATTCTAATTAAAATGCCTGCAGTGTCTCATATATTCAGCTTCCCACGCTTCAAAATGGCAGAAGAGGCGCTTTAACTAAAGCTTGTTTGACAAGCTTTAGTTAAAGCACCCCTGCCACCATTTTGAATAGTTGGCAATGCTGAATACATGTAATGGCGAGGCTGCTGGAGTGGTCTAATTAGGCTGAGTCGGCTCCAAAGCGTTCTAATTAGAACGCGCCAGACCAGGCATCCTGCACATGTACAGGCACCCGAGATGTCAGGGGAGGCAGTATCAGCCTTTTAGCATTTAGTGAGCTGCTCCCAGGGGATGAAACTA